CAGAAAGTTGAATCTTTGAGTTTCCTATATACTGAACTCTAATGTAGAATTTACTTGATGGTATCTGATCTAGACTTGATATTTAGCCATCAGAAATTACTCAGTGTAATGTTTTCTCATATGCCACCCCCCTAATTCCCTGCTTTCTTGCCTATGAAATACTTCTGAAACTGATGTACTTTGAGTATTTTGTGGTGTTAGTTTACAGTACTGTTCAAGCTATTTGGAGAAGTCTAAAGTTCTACACTACTCTATCAATCTTTTTTTTGTTTTTGAGATGTTCAAAGACGGGGCCAGACTGAAATATTTTGTTAGAAACGTGATGTGAGAAGCTGCATACCTGCTGGTGGTGTTTCATGGTGGTCCGAAGGCCGGCTGGGTTGACTTCTCCCTACTTCGTTCAAGGCTATGACCCTGAACTGGTATCTCACATACGGAGCCAAAGGTAACAACACTGTTGTTTCCTTTCCTTGGACTCTAGTCAATTCCTCCCACCTTCCTGGTTCTTCTTTGTTTCCTTCAAATTCAACAATATACTCTGGCAGTAGGGACATGGGAAAAACATTAGAATGTGTTGAGTATGCTTAAGTTACACTAAAATTTATACATGATATTAAAAATTTATAAGGACATTTTAAGAAGGATAATCTACTAAGAGTGGTTAAAAATGGCATCAATATTAATTCTAACTCTGTAGGGTAAGGAAAATAATAGTCATTTCAAGTCTTCCTACCGCTAATATTGCTATTGTGGTCATCTCCAGCCTCCCAGGTCAGCCGAACACTCCTGTTCTGTCTTTCAGACAAATGAAGGTTTTTTGGTGGATCCGGAACATCTAATTAACAGGAAAAAATAAAGGTAAGGAAAATGCAGATCTTTGCCTTTGTTTACCTAATTCCCTCACTCCAACGCATTGCCAGCCACCCTTCCTCTCTGGGTCCATCTCCACTCTCGGTTGTTCACATCTCACCAGCCCCTGAGGTTCTATTTCCAATGAAGCTTCCTTCACAACTATTCTCACAATTGACCATATTATCTCCCTCTTCTCTGATTACAGTTCTCAAAGGGTTACCCTTGGCCAGGGGCTGGGCCCAGGAATCTGCATTTGCAAACAATTTTCCTGCATGATGATTATGCACACTCAGGTTTGAGAAACATGATGTATCTCAAATAGATTACTTATTTTATTCCAGCTCATACTTATTTATATGCCTAATGCATCTCCTGTGTGTTACTAAAAAGACCTTCAAGAGGAAGGACCATATTTTAATCTTTGAATTATCACAGTACCTTGCCCATAAATGTTTTCTGACTAAATGAGTAAGTGAAAAATATATTATCACTTCAGTCATGCATATAATTACCATATTAAAGCAATAAAAATTAGGTCTTATAGTAATAGAAAAATAAGATGGAGAACATAAGCTCTGCCTTTCTTTTCTGCAACTGTGTTGGATTTTTGTTAATATTGTGACTTATAGCAATACATTTTCAATATATTAATAATAAAGCAACTTATATACGCTCTTGACTTAGAGTACTGAAAAAGAGTAGCAAAGCAGCTCATATTGGAAGAGGGAAATTTGGCACTGATAAATGTTGTTACAGAAATTGGAAAATTGAGTAGGTGATGACAAATTTTAGAGTGTTAAAGAACATGGAAATTTCTGGTACTTTTAACATAAAGCAACAGTAAAAAGAAATCTTATCTCTAATGGTCCTTACTCCCACAAATTTGATTTGAATTCTCTCAAGTATTGAAGGACATTTATCTTTTCCCAGAGGAGATAATGAGGGTATTATCTAATGTGGCCTTTCAAGGGGCCCTTTCTTCTCCAAGTGGAAAGCATCAGCTATTGCTCCTGTTGAATACTTGCCAATTGTTGAAAATTCACACTGACAAAAAGTATTGTTTTCAATTCAGAATCAGACATGCTTATTTTTTAAATGCGGCTCATGAATGTGTCCAAACGTTAGGGCCTTAAATAAGAAGTATTTCTTCAATGGTTTTCAGACTCTCTGAGCCCAGAGACCTTGTTTCTCTTCATTACTTACTAAGAGTCCACTGATTTCTGAAGCTTCCTGAAATAACCAAGGCTGCATGCTGCATATGGGATTAAAATCTGTTTCCTCTAAGAATCATATGGAGCTAAAATTGATGAACTTGCAACTGACAGTTTAAAAAATGATATTCTTAAAAGCATGTCTATGCCAAGGCATTTGAAAACAACTTCTGAATGAAGTGGGTCCAGTATATGCTTTTAAAAACTGTTTTCCAGGGGGAAAAAGAAGTCTTTTAGAAACCACCAATGTGTCTATAGTCATTCATTATTGTCAGTTGTTGAGATACGCTTTTGTAAACCAGAGGTTGGTCTAAAAATTGAGAATGCAAATTCAAAGAAGTGGTTACAAAAAATGCAGCCCATCTCATAGAATAGTCCTTGAAAATTATTTTTATTTTTATTCTAAAAAATTTGGTAGATTACTTCATACCTAAACAGTATATATAATCATAGCCACTATTTATGTAAAATTAACAAAATTTAATGGTTCTAGAAAATGGCAGCCTTATTACAAGAATGAAAGAATAAAAATCTCAATTTTTTTTAAGTAAATTAAGAAAGCAAACACCAAGTAGAAGGGAATGCAAGCCCGTTGGTGCCTGCCATTGCTCAAAATATTTAGGGGCAAAGCCTGTGAGTGCTGACACTTACCCCTATACTCTTGGGGCCTGGGATAAATTCCAGTTTATCCGAAACTCAACTATTTTATCTGCTGAATTACTGTCGGAACAACGACTAGTGGATTGAACCTTTCTGTTTGTAGAACCCTGAGAAAGCTCAAATACGTATTTCCAAAGGTCCAATCTTGCTGAGCCAAGTCCACAAGTCCACACCTTCCACAACCTGGGAACTGTTCTTATGCTTTTTTAGAACCTAACCTGGTGGCCATTTGTTTCACTTCAGAGATCCAGCCTGTTTGTCCATTTTTCATCAGTCTGCCTCAGAAGAGACTGGATTTTTCCCTTGGTCTGTATCCCCACACCCCTAGCTAGCAACTTCCCTGCGGCCCCAGCAACCAGAGTGCTAAAGATACAAAGGCCTGTTAACAACAGTGATTAGTCTACGTATGATGAAAGAATTTAGGCAAAAACAAACACTTCTAAGGAACATCAGCCAACTAAAGGGAAGACTAAATGGTGCCCACTGAAACAGAATAAATGGTAAATGGAAAAATGTCTGTAGCCGTCAGGGTCACCGCAGAAAAATTACTAAATAATTAATAGCGCACACCATTTAGGATATTTCTAAAATTTTTAATAAAAGCTCTTAAAAAGGTGCGGCCAAGATATCCAGGGGATTGGTGGGGGGAGCAGGGACTTGAAATACTGGTGATAGGGTAGCAGTTAGTAGAATCCCATCCGAAGGAACTGTGTGGAGAAAGCCCCTCTGAGGAAGCTATGACTTTGGCTTTCCTGCAGGGAAGGAGTAAGGAGAATTATCAACCCACCCGCCCTCTTTCACCCCCAGGGTTCCCCACTCTCTGAACCAAATGAAAGCTAGAGGGTAAATGGTTTTTTGATGTTGTCCTTACAAGCCAAGTTTCTAGGTCAAAGAGCTGGTAGAGAGCGAATCTGGAAGGGAAATTGGAAAATATCCAGCAGATGGTCTAAGAGCTTTAAACATTGGTGATTTCAGGGGTAATTGCATTGATTACACTAGTGGAGCATGCACACTGTTTTCTAATGAGCATTGTCATCTAAAAAAAAAAAAATCAAAGGCATTCTTTTGCAGAACGCTGAAAGTCCCTCTCCACCTTTCCTGCAACCCAGAAATCTCAGTCTGTGCCTCTGTTTTGGAGTATGACCCCTGTCCAGCCATCTCTGGACCCTCACCTGGACCCCTTCACTCTAACCCACCTTCATTCCCCAGCCCCCCTAGCTCAAAAGCACTAGGAACTCAAGCATGCTTTATTTTTCTTTCGGCTGATAGCACCGCTTACCTCCTACTGCTATTGGCAACCTTACCCATGTAGGGAAGAGAAATTAAGCATTAATTAATTTCTTTTATATGAGAAGAGGAGAGGGCATTTGAAAGTGGTGTTACTTTTTAAACGAAAAATTCAAGCTAACGGTATATGTGCAGAGGCTCAAATGAGCATTGGCTTTATTGCCTAGGAACAATGGAATTCAATCAGCAATGGAGATAAAAAGAATAGAGATTTCTTGCTAGTGAGTGCACTTACCAAGGACAGTAACTTGAGTAATATCAGCAATGCTATCGAGAGCAGTTTGAGCTAAACAGGAGTAAATACCTTGGTCCTCTAAAGTGACATTAGATATGGTCAGATTAGCCCCGTCAATAATTATCCTACCGGAAAAAAAAAAATGAGTATATGATTAGGATAAAAACAACAGAAACCACTGAAACGTACAATCCTTTCAAAAATGTATATTCCCTATGGAAAAGGATTAAAGGAAGAGTGAAAAAACAATTTCACATAATGCAAATTTGATTAGAGAATGCCATAGATGAAACCTGGAGATAAAGCATTATTCAAGCATATACAGATGTCTACATACCCACAAATGGGATCACATCTTTAGAAAGTTAAGAAAGCCACCATCTGTGATGCATGGGTCAGTGATGGAACTGTGTGTTGTCTAGAATGTTTAAATACAGTGCACTATACCTTACAATAGCTAGGACATTTTTGAATAATTCTTAAGGTATGTTTAGGAAACCACCACATGGAAGCATCTGGGATGCTTCTTACAAAGGCAGATTTCTGGATCCCACTCCCATCCCACAGGACCAGAATAGCTGAGATGGAGTCTGATAATCTCTATTTTTCACAAATTTCCTTTTTCTCCACCCCTTCACCTTCCAAGTAGAACACACATTAAAATCTGATAACAGTTCAGGTGATGGATACCCTAAAAGCCCTGACTTCACCACTATGCAATCTACACAGGCAACAAAATTGCACATGTGCCCCATAAATTTGTTCAAATAAAAAGGAGAAAAGAAAATCTAACCATTAAACCGTGATTTATTTGAACAGTAGATGGCAGTCTAGTACTTCTTTTTGCAAATCATTTCAACCAGCTTTTTATAACATCATTTGTTCTATCTTTCCCAATTCGTAATAATGTTTACTACATGAAAATTGCTCCTTTACAAATTATACCTTTTATCCTATACTTACGTATTGTCTACATAACTATTAAAATATTTTTTAAAGTTCCATTAAATTTAAAATATATTCACATCAGTTACCATTTAGTTGAAATAAATTAATTAGTGCCATCCTTGTGGGGAGAAAGGGAGATTCTTGTATAATTGAGATTTTTAAATGTAAAACCATTATAAAATGCTATGAATTTTTTTTTTTTTTTTTTTTTTTTGAGACAGAGTCTCACTCTGTTGCCTGGGCTAGAGTTCTGTGGCATCAGCCTAGCTCACAGCAACCTCCAACTCCTGGGATTAAACAATCCTTTTGCCTCAGCCTCTCGAGTAGCTGGTACTACAGGCATGTGCCACCATGCCTGGCTAATTTTTTCTATACATATTTTTAGTTGTCCTGCTAATTTCTTTTTATTTTCAGTAGAGACAGGGTCTCACTCTTGCTCAGGCTGGTCTTGAACTCCTGACCTTGAGCGATCCTCCAGCCTCAGCCTCCCAGAGTGCTAGGATTACAGGCATGAGCCACTGCGTCCAGCCATAGAATTTTGAATTATAGGAAATCACTTCAAATTTTAGTAAAATTACACATGATTATGCCTTTTGATCATAAACAGAGTCAGACTCTTATTCCTACACCAATAACTGAACAATTTGCCAACCAGTATTACCTGGTATTGCTAGTTAAGAATGTTACTCTAATTTTAGACATGTTGAAACTTTGACATAAATTAACTTCTCAGTTTGTGTTAGTTAAGTGTCCATTTGATACAATATCAGAGTGTTGTGTACACTGACAATATTTGAAAAGTTCTTCTTTCTTAGGTGAAGTATTACAGTTTAATAACCTTTTAAAACAGGACTTTTATGCTCTGCACAAAGCTACTCGTACTTGAGGGCCACTAGGAGCTGAAGTCTTGCACCCTGGTATGGGCTGCTTCAGGCTAGAGTGTTATTAACTTTTGGGTAACTTACTGTCATATTATGCTGTTTGTTTAATTGCATAAATGTGCCTTAGCTGTCTCAAATTAATCAAGGTCGAGTGACTCACTGGCTGTTGAAATTTGGTGGGCATGGTGTGTCTAAGCAGCTTATCAAGCATTTCACGCCCCAGCCTCAGCTCAGGTTTCGAATCAGAAGATTTGCAGGTGGGACAAGGGCCATTGCATTTGAACACGAAGGCTAGGTAACTCTGTCACACGTCAAAATCTGACAACTATTTGCATTAGCAAGGACACGTTATTTTGTGCTGCAATAATGAACAGCTCCAAATTCTCTGCCTAAAACATTTGTTTATTTCTCTCATATTATGTTCCCATCACAGGTCAACTGGGTTCTGTTTAAAGAAGACCTGCCATTTCTCCTCTCATAGAAGCTGTTCTTTGGCTTCGTCTTCATATCTTGGGTTGCGTCCCAACCTTTTCCTGTTTGTTGTTGCTTAATCACCTCACCTGAGAAACCTATTGCCCTAAAATCTCCATCATCTGCAATACACAGCTTGCTGGTCCCTAATCCATGTTACCCTCCACTGTTGTCTCAGCCCATTCCACCCGAGTAAGATCTGTGTTTCACTGGGGGCAACGTGACACGGTGGTTCTCTCTTCAGAGACCTCTGTTTGAGGCTCAGTTCCATTAATTATCATTTGCATAACCTTGAACAAAACATTCAGCCTAATTCACCTTACCTAAAAAATGGGGATGACGGCATTGTCTTTCTCCTTAGGAGAAGTAAATGAGGAAGAGCACATAAAGTGATTAGTGTATACAGCTTGGCATACTATGTGTTCAGAGACTGTTACTAATAATATTAATCAAATTGATTTCATTCATTTCTGGCTTATCACTAATCACATTTCCCATGGTTGATATTTTCATGTCCCCAACTCCCATCCCTCCTGCCTCTCTGCCTCTTTGCTTGAACAAATTACCTCAGTTCCAAATTTGCTAGGAAGAGACTCTTCGCCATGCCTCCCTTATCATCTTTGCATCTTCATCTCCCCCGAAACCCATGCATTTGCCACCATTTCCAAAGGGAAAAAGCAGCCTTCCTGGATGCCAAGGATAGAACCTCCCACTGTGTTCTCACACCCTGTCCTCCCACGTCCTCCCGGCCTGATATCAGTATATAGCACATCCTCGCCGCCCCGTACCACTGCGCTCTCCCCTGCAGAGCTGGGTCCTTCACTCCGCCTACCATCAGGAATCATCTCCAGTACCTTTGTTAAGCACAGTATAAATTTTAAAAGTGGTTTCATAGCCATGCTCCATTTCACTTTTCATAACCATAGTGTGTGGTCTGTAGCCACCTGCAGGGTAGAAATGCAGAGGAAATCCCTTGGGGCCGCTTCAGCCTACCTAATGGAGTTGCTGTGAGGAGTAACGAGGGACAGTGAGCATGGGAGGTGCTAACATAACATGAGGTGCCCAGGGGATATGATGGCCCAGAGTGTCAGTTCCCCGTACCTAAGCACACCCCTGCACAGGAAAGGCGACAGGAGAGAAGAGAAGGGGGAAGTCTCACTTCTCATTGTTCGCTATGTTCATTTGAGTAAAATTGTTGGGTAAAAGCTTCTGTCGCTAGCCTAGTGATAAGGAGAAGATGTCCCAGAAGAAGGAGAGAAGCATGAGGTTACTGATTGTTCTCTACAAATTTGGCAGATTCCTATGATCTCATCTCCCTGCTGTATTTCCATGCCCGATGCCTGCCCTTGGCGGCAGTCAGGACAAGCTAGCAGCAGTTGCTCTCAGCCTTCCCCATTCCTGGGGCCTCTTCTGAGCTAAGGTTACTTTCCCTCACTCTCAACATTTGTTTAGGGAAAAGTGGAAGAACATCCGTGTCATTTGCCCAATCTAGTTGGATAGCCAGAGTTTCATCAGAGTGTCAGCCGCAGTATCCTGCAGAAACTATAAAACTTGGCCACACAAAGAGGCCCACTGGTGATTCTGGGGCAGAGCCTAAATGTGTATGTCACGTTGCCAACAAGGCATGGGTCTCTGATTCCCTTCTCGGCCGTAGCCCGGAGGTCACATGGAAGACCCCAGATAATCAGGCAATAGTGACAAAAGAGGAACAATTTAGGCAGATCTGAGCAGTTGGCAGGTCAACTGAGACCTAACATGAAGCTGAAGATCCCTGTTGCAGAGTGTAGCCTTTAGATATGTATAATTAATCTCCTCTTGTTCCAATGACAACTAGTTGCAACACATACACTGCCTTTCTGCAAATCTTTATATATATATACACAGGAAGGAAACGAGAGAACAAATTAAGTACCAAGGCTGAGACCAAAGCCTTTGCATTAAGGTGGCACACACACAAATACCAACAGAGGCCTAGCAAGTAACAGGAATGAGACAGGTAGACTGGAGAAATGAGTAGTGAGAATCATAGCAGCGAAAATGGACCGTGCACTTAGTATTTTCTAAGTGCTTGATATGTAATTGACAGTAACCCTATGGTGAAGGTACCTTTTTTATTTTATAATTAAACTATGTTATAGAATGTAAAACTAAGGCACAGAGATGCCAAACAGCTTATCCAAGGGCATAGACCCAATAAGTGACAGAGCTGGGATTCAAACCCAGACTGCTGAGCTCCAGGGTCCATGTTCTTCGTCATGACACTGTTGTTGTCTCATCCGAGGAGTGCACGTCCCACCTAAAGGCATTCAGATTTATTTTGCAGAGTGATGAATAATAAAACCTAACCGCACGTGAGACTTGGCTCCAAGATGTTCAAGTTTTAACCCTGTTTAGTAACAATGCAGAAGGAAGCAAAGCTGACCTTCACATGTTTGAAAAGGTAGATATTCAGTAAATATTGATTCTTTTCTCCTTCTTCGATGTACTTGATATTGTCTAGTGCTAATAAGTATCCGTTCACACTTTATTCTATATTCTCTCATATATTTTTTCTATATTCTGTATACAGAGGTTGTAAAACTAGGAAATACACCTGCCAATACTTTCTTGCAGGAGGAATCCCAGATATGATTTAGGTCTTGCCAGTGAGATAGACTCGTGTGAGATTGGAAATTAGAAGGGGACGGGGCATCACCTTCTCTGGGGCAGTGGGAGCGGATGGTGGCTCTGGCAGAATGAAAATGGTCAGTGGGTAGACTCACCAGTCGTACCCATGGGGGGAGGTGACTCTGAGACAGGAGCAGTTTCCAGATACTCGGATTGCAGTTGCAGTGCCATGTGGTCATGAAACCAAGAGATTAGTATGCAGCCCCTTCTAGGCCTACCTCGTCCAGCCTTTTCTTGTAAGCACCCAATCTTCTGCAATAAATCTGCCTCAACTACCTACAGTGGCTTCATTTTCTATTAGTCAGTTTTTGAATTCTCATTCAGTATGAATACCTTTTAGAGCTGTTTTTTGAAATGCAAAGTGTTCGTCCCAAGAAAATATTAAGACATGTCATGATAGGTTACCTACCTGCCGTCTTCTGTGCCATTGATTTCAAAGGCTTCTCCGTCTTTATTCCAGGACAACTTCAAACTGTCTTTCAAATGCGAGTCACATTTGCTTTCACAATGTAATTCAAGCACGTGGAATTTGGGGATACGAGGATTCTTAGGAGAAACTCTAAGTTTTGTAGCATCTGTTTTGACCAAATAAAATGTTAGTCAGAACTGCAGAGGACAGCTTATTTCGTTACTAAGTGCCTGCAATTTAATCAACCAAAACTGTCAACATAATCATCAAAGCCTCATGCAATGTTTGTCTCACTATAATATCCTAACATCATATATCATTACTTTTCACGCAGACCTGGGCATCTGACAAAATTTAGGTGAAAGTATCAGTTAATAGTTTAGCAATTTCCTTCACTACTTCTTGGGCAAAGGGAATAAGCAAAGTGTGAGCAAACAAATGTCTCTAGACATTGAAAATAATATAATTTCTCCTCTAGTGCTTCTGGATATGTAATCAAAGCACTGAGTTTTTTGTTGTTGTTGTTAAAAAAGGGACAATTCGTTGATTTTCTATTAGCATGTTTATTATTAACTCAGAAACCTAAGGTTACATGTGAAAGGCCATGCATGGATGAACTATCAACATGAAGGTGAGGAATTAGAAAGTAAGCCGGTGAAGGTCAGGCCTGTGCGTGTTTTGTTACACTGCAGCGTCCCCAAAGCCTAGGAGGGAGCCTGCACACAGCATGCACTCAATACACATTGGCTGAAGTTCTTGTGGGATGAGTTACAGTGAGCGAATTGGTAGTATCGGCGATATGAAGCTCAACGATTAGTACCATGGCTGTCCTGAGAAACGTTTGCTTCATTGTGATTATTTCAATACGTACAATCCTTACTGTTTAAGGTTTTATTAAAAGTAGGTATGCTTTTAATATGGTACTTGGCACTTGGAGACCCTGTCAGAGACCAAATTGCATACGCTGACCTCCAATTCTATGATCATACTCTAATAATTGCTATCTACATGTTTCTTAAGAAGATTAAAAACTGAAAGTGTTAATAAAATTATTTGTTGTCCTAGGCATGAAATTTGAAGAGATCATTAAATTGAATGAACTTTAAGTGAACTATTAAACATCCTATTCTTAATTCTACATTTAAAGTCAGAAATCCATTTAATAACAACAGGTACCCTTTAATAAGCATTTCTCTGTTTACCAGGACTCTGCTAAGAAGCTCACGTTCATTGCAGCATTTTATAATTATAACATCTCTGTGAATGTTAATATTCTCACCTTACAGAGGAAATAACTTAAGGCTAACATGAAGCTAAGTGACAAGACCGAGGTTTCCTAACTGGTAAGGGACTGAACCAGGATTTGAACCCAAATCTGGCCAACACCAAAGCTCATGCTTCCAATCACTGTCCATTCTCATATTCAATTCCACTCTCTCCATTCCTGTTTTATATGCAAAAATTATGTTCTTAATCCTTCATTGATATGATTTATACACATGTTCCTTACATATAAAAGGGACATGAGAGCACAGTGGAAGTTTATAAACTTGCCACCTCTCTGGCCACTAGCAGTTTTGAGGTCCACTCTGGGCCAAACACTGTGTTGGGCACTAGGAATGCAAAGGTTCACTTAGATTCCAGGCTTCACTCTCTTTGACTCTGAACCTGGCTGAGTTGCTTAACCTTGATATAGGTTTACTTTTTGAAATATAAAACAACCATCTTCATTGATTTCATAAGGGCGACTTGACAAATTGTACATGACATGTGAAAATGCAGGAAGACATCAGAGATTAGTAGACATGGTGGGAGAATATTTGTGTACTTTAAAAATAGAGTGCATGGGTTGGCATGTTGGATAACTTGGGCACAGAAAAAAGCAAATGCCATAAAATAATAAAAGAATGTAAGACAGAAGGAAAAAAGAAATAGGAAAAAGAAGGAAAGAAGAGTGTGCATGGTAAGAGAGAGAAAAAGAAATGTCAAGGCACGAGTTGAAAACAGATAAGCAAACAGATGATCAGAAGATCAAACAAATATGTACCCCTACATCTAGGCAGAGGTAGGGAGCAGGCCAAGATATTGACATGACAGAAGAAACACTAATCCTCCCTACTATTACTGTAGAACCTTTCTGTTCTTTGTGTTTTCCTGAAAAGTATTCTCTGAGCAATGTTAAAATCAAAATTGTGAAGGCTGAGGGACTATTAATAGCTCCTAGGACTTTGTTCTGAAGAGAAAGAATAAAAAGTTGTTTAAGACTCAGAAAGAGAATAAAACAAGACCTCATTCTGTCATGCCTCAACCTATATCGAGCTGAACTTTCATGGGTTTGCCAAATGTTAGCTCAGAGACTTGATTACTGGTCACATTACCTTGTGTTGGTTTTGAAATAAAATACAGTTACAGAAATACCTCAAAATAGAGAATTTTAAAGATTGCCAGTCATCCATCACTAAGGACACCTAGCTCCCTCTTAAAATTGTATAAGCTATGTACACACCATCGGAATACCCTGTAATTCTTATGATAGTCCTTTAGATGAAACATAATCTAGGAGTTTTGAAAAACAGTCTAAAGAACTTTAACAAGTGCTCAAATTTAAATTATATTATTCCACTTGGGAAAATGAAGACATACGGAAGCCATGTGAGAATTCATGCAAAGTAAGAGTGAAATAAAAATACTTCTGATATCCAAATTGGCTGTGACTGCAGTTTTTCCTATAGCATTTTCTACCCAGCAAGAGTACGACCCAGCATCTTCTTCAGTGGTTCTGTTGATCTGCAATGTGCCGTTTTCGTGGATGTGGTACCGCCTGCCTTCAAGGGGTTTTGCTTCTTCCGCCGTCTGCCTATGGATACAGAAAGCATAAATCAATTTGGGGCATTGCCGAATTGTACAGTTTTTTTGATACTAGTCACTGATATCATTCAGGCTAATTCCTTCTTTAGGAGTTTAGTAAATCTTATAAAATCTTCCACTGGGTTTTATATTTTTCTCCAAACGGATCTTGGATGTATATCTTATCTGCTTGACTAGACTGTGGCTACAGAAAATCCGAGCCCATGCTCTGTGCTTCTGCTGCATTTCTCAGAGCTACCAGCACCATTTTGCATGTGTCCTCAGAGCTTAATAAATATTTTCTGGCTTATTGATGGTGAACTCTTTAGTTAATGATTGCTCCAGGATGCTAAATGGGAAAGCTGGTAATTGAAAGAGATAATGAACCTTCCAAACCTCCTGCTGTCCTGGGAGAACATTGGTCATTCGGAAATATTATAAGGCAGGAAGTCTTGCCTGTCCTGTGGACATGGATTACATTTATCCTATCAACCCCAGAGTCATTTTCCCCTGCATTCATCCATTTTCCAAGCATTTGCTGCCACAGCTTGATTTACCCTGCAATTTCACAATAAGTGACAGAGCTAAAAAATCCAAAGGACAAACTGTGGCTGCTGTTCACACAGGATTTTATAGTGCGGAGACCGGGTTGACGTGACAGAAGGCACCAGTCTCCGATACAACATTTAAGGGGGTGCCCAACATCACAGTAACCAAGATAAGTAATATTTAAATGGAGTTTTTTTGAAAAATAAAAAATAATGCCAAAAAAATCTATGATGAACAAATTATGTATCACAATTTTAAATAAAGGCAGGATCTGACCCTACACTTTTATGACCTGGACTCACTCCACCCTCCAGAACAATGGCAAAATTATTTAAGAACCATTTAACCAAGATTTTTCAGTAAAGTAACTAATATGGTAAATGATTATGATCTCAATTAATATTCTGAAATTAAAATCAAAATGAATGTTGGAAAAGGTTGAAGCAAATGTGTTTGGAATTAAATGCAGGCTTAGATAATTATTTAGACAATTCCAAAACAACAGTAAAGTATAATTTGACCTTGAGATATCCCCATAATGAAAAACCAATTCTACCTTTAAAAATTGCCTTACCGATCACTTCGATCCTTTGCTTTTCTTTATGAACATTAATGCCGCTCTATATTTCCCCATGTAAGGAAGTCCTAGAAACCTAGCCAATGTTTTCAGAAGTGGTTAAGTTTGTTACCTTATTTTTCAGAGTCATAGGGTACATGTAACCATATAGACACAATGCAACCTGTCAAATGATGAGTGAAGAAACAAGGTGAAGTCTACAACTGACATTCTCTTAAGAAAACCAGGTACCATCTTACCAGGAGACTACTGCCTCGGGTGAAGCAAAGAACTCGCAATGTAAGAAAGCACTGTACCCAACCACAGTGGCATAATCTTCTCCATCTTCAGTTTGTATCAATGGACGAACATCTATTTGAAAATAACATAAATACAGTTTTAAACTTACATGTAAGAAATATGTGCAAATTAATTTTTACTATGCCCTATTCATATTAATATGAATAGAAAATAGCTGAATATTACAGCACATATTCTTGATTTAGAAAAGTTTCCAAATTCAATACATGTTTGAAAGTATAATTTCAGCATGAAGTCCAATGCCCAAATGTACAGTGAAAGGGACTCTGACTTTTTTCCCCGTCTTGTATGTGGCGAGAATTCAATGGGCATTTGCAAATATGACCTTGACCATTTTCCTTCAGAAAACAGCACCTTACATCTGCTCTCAGGTATGCTTACCTACAACATCGATATTGGCATTGGCAAGGATAGTTCCGTGGACATTCGAGGCTTCGCACTGGTATACAGCAGTGTGATTTGGATGTAGGTTGGTAAAACTGACTTCCCCGGGGGAGATAACATCACCAGCAAATGGATGATCTGAAAGAGATTAAAGAATGTCAGTTTGATAAAGAATAGGACATAAAATATTTATATACCATTTATTAAACGTGTCACACAGTATTTATATTTTAAGACCATTTTAGGGTGAAGAATAGTTCATTGAAGCCAATTCTTTAGACTTTCCGAACATCAACCATAGATTTTCCTTTCCAGATCCTTATGAATTTTCAATCTTCCTTCCAAATTAATATTGTCAGAATATCTGTTGATCTGCAGCTCAGAGACTCCATACACATACCCATGAAAAGATTCTAGATTATCTGTTTGGCATTCAAGTCCCGCAATGAACCTGACTCCTACTCTTCTGAATTTAGATCCAGATACCGCACAGCACAAATCATACGCTCAACACATTATGCACGACCTCCCCAGACTACAAATATCGGCTGCTATTTTTCCCCTTGCTATGTTTGTTCCTGTCGCACTTTTCTGCCCTTCTGCGGTGTTCTGATTTGCAGCCTTCATTCCATTTGTCTTGCTTCACCACTGAACCACTTCAGGTATGTAGCTCATATATTTCATTTGCCCAGAAAGACTAAACCTTTCCTAAGAACAGAGACCAGGTTTTTTACTTTGAGACAATAAAACCCACCCCACTCTTGATCCAAGTATAATTCTGAGAATATCTTTTGGAAATGACAACATCTAACATTTCCAGTGCATTTATTAAGGGCCAAAAAACATTACTGGATGTAACACGTGCATTGTCTCATTGACGCTGCTCAGAACCTGCTAGACCAGCATTTATCTGCCCATTTTAGCGGGGAGGGGACTGGATTTCAGAGAAGGTGAATGACACATCCCACAGCATTTGGTCACTTTTCTGACTCTAAACCCTGTGCTCTTGCTATGACACTAAAAAAAAGCAGTGGAAAGGAAAACATATTAGCTAGGAATGTCAAGGGAGGGGCAAAGATATAAAAATTTCTTAGTTTAAATTATGTTGCAAGGTTACAAATCTAATTTCTTTTTTCTGATTATGTCTCCCTTATACAAAATAATGACTGCACTGAGTTTTTCTGTATAGAAAATATTGACTATTATATATTATAATAGAAGACTTCTTATGCAACTTTTTCCTCCTGGGAGTCATAAACGAATATATTTTTTCACTTGACTGTGAGCTCCCTGAGGGCAGGACCTTGGTTGGGCAGTGTGTCCCCAATGCCCAAATAGCGGCTACCACAGAGGAGGAAGTCAGTAAATATTTGTTGGGATGACTGAAAAAGTTATGTTGCGCAGCATTTTGGTCCTGAATGGCCCCACTAAGTAGACAGAATAATACTCCTGAAAAACGTCCATATTCTAATACCCAGAATGTGTGACTATGTTACCTTACACGGAAAAAGGGACTTTGAAGATGTGATTCAGGCTAAGGACCTTGAGGTGGGAACATGATCCCAAATTATCCAAGTGGGCTCAATGTAATTACAAAGCTCCTTAAAATGAGAAGGGCTTTCTTGGCTGTGGTCAGAGGGAGACATGACTATGGGGAGATGATCAGACAGATGAAATGGAGCTGGTAGGAGGATGGAGGAAGGGATCCACGGGCCACGGAATGAGGGCAGCCTCTAGAAGCTGGAAAAGGCAAAGAAAAGAATGTCATCCTAGAACTTCAAGAAAGGAGCCCGGCACTGCTGACACCTTGATTTTAGCCCACCAATCAACTCGGGTTGGACTTCTAACTTACAGAGTTGTAAAATAGTAAATACATAGTATCTTAAGCCACTATGTCTTTGGTAATTTGTTACAGCAACATTAGAAAGCAAATACAATCCCGCTAAACAATTTATTACTTATCTCTTGGGAAACAGCAAGATGAGTAGCACTTCCAAGTTGGTCAAAGTTGAGCTCTTCTAAAAGAATGCTGCAGAGGACTGAATCTCTGATCCGATTCTTCACTCCTGTACCCCACACCCAGAGTCCTAAGCCTTTTAGAGGTAACCCCACTGTGCTCCTTGGTTCCTCTTATACCATTTGACCCAGGTGTGGGTCTGAATCAACACAGCATTACAAAAGGAAGAAATCAGACTATGGTCTCAAGTTTGAGATGACAAACAATCAAACATTGCTCAAATCTGCCATGTAGGATGGCTTTGGAAATTGCAGAGTATCGTTGCATATTGGCAAAGTACAACAGAAGCTCCCAGGATTTAAGAAAGCGGAGTCTATAATATCAAACAAAACACACTAGTCCTGACATAATTTAGAAATCTTTTATCAGTTTTGTTTTGGGTCAGCTCAGGGAGAAATAATGCAATACAGTGAGAGAAACTCCAGCTCCGGACTTAATCATTTCTGGGTTCCGTTTCTGGTCTAAATGTACCTGGGTTGTGTCCTTCGATAAGTAATGTGACCTCTCTGAGCCTCAGGTGCCACATCTGCAAACTGAAGAATAACAGAATCTATTTTTCAAGGCTACTGGGAGGCTCAAAAATATCAGATGCAAAGCATGTAAAAAGAGTTAGGCGTGCAATCAATAATACTAATCATTTTGATTTAACTTTGAAATAATACAGGGAAAGGATATGCAACTCCTGAAACTATAAGCTCAAAGAGATTGCAAATCCTTTAGCCAGCCCGCTGTCATCAAACATCCCAGCCTATGAATGTTTATGACCTGTTTGCAGGGAAGCAAGGAGAGCTATGATCAAAAGCTGCGAGAAGAGCATAGAGAGAACTTGCATTCACAAAGTGGCTTTGGTTTGAGGTACACCGTTATTCAGCTGTGCTGTCTTGCATAAGTGTATTTGCACCCTTGACTTCCCCATTCATTAGCAAACATTTTGGTTTCTACTTTGGGAATAAATCCAGAACCTAACTACCACTGCTACCAATCTAGCCCTGGACCCAGAGTCTTTCGGACAGCCTCCTACCAGAAGTCATACCAACCATTGTTCGTTCACAGGTCACAAAAATTAGATTAATTTAGATTATGTCACCCTTCTGCTCAAAATTCTCCAAGAACAGCCCAGCTTATTCCCAATAAAATACCAAGTCCCTGCTTAGGTGTCCACCTTTGCCCATGCCCTGGCCCTTCCCCTCCTAGCTGATCTCATTGCCCAGCGCTGCCCCCTCCTCATTCTCTGGGCTTCAGCCACTGGGACCTCCTTTCTTTGCCTCAACACCTCAAACATCCTTCTGGGGCTTTGTGCTCACTCACTTCTCCACCCTGAAAGTGCTTTCACAGATATGCATGGCTGACTTCCTCACCTCCTGCAGGTCTCTACTCAAAGGTAAATTGCCACGGGGGCCTTACTATCATTATCTTAAAATAAAATAGCAACTAGGTCCTGAACCTCCCTTATGCTCTCCCCTTACCCAGCTATTTTCTGCTTTGCCACACTGCAGTGCACACTCACCTGCTTATTTCCTACTGACCGACTCGCCCCACTAGAACGTCAGAGTCAGCAGAGCAGGGACTCTGTCCATTGTATTCACCACTGTAGCCCAAGCTAGAAGCCCAGTGCCTGGCACATAGGAAGTGCTCAATAAATATTACTGAATGAATGAATCCATTAAATATGAACAGTAGTACCTCCTTGAAAGGTTCTTATGGAGATTCAAAGTAATTTGTGAATGGTTTTTGGAAACAGCCCAGCATTATTCAAATATAAAATTTTATGATTTTATGGTCAAGGAAATCTGAATTGTTTATTCCAGCAATCTGAACGTTTTTAATGCACAAAATTGTTTTCATTTCCCTTTGATCTACCCAAAACGTCATTTTTAAAAAATTTCTCATTCTGTTCTCTAAAGAGATGAGGGAAAAGTCTCAAATTTGAAGATATTAATAATGAGGGCTAAGGTTTCCTGAGTGTCTGCTGCATGAAAACAGTAATTATCAACAATACGTTGGGGTTGCTGTTTGTGTGGCAGTCCCTGAGCTATGCATTCTCTGTGTGGTGTTTCTTTTAATCCACATGACAACCCCATGAGTCAGGGCTATGCACATCCCCCATTGCACTAATGAGGAGACAGGTTTTAAGAGGACCAGTAACACTCCCAATCACACAGCAAGGAAACGGTAGAGCCGGCATGCAAACACGGGCAGTCTGGCTCCAGAGTTTATAAACTACCACAGTGCTCTACAGATAAATCACTACACTAACCGGCTAACTTTATTTTTCTCATCCCACCACAACCAAGTATCCCTATCTCCGTCTTGCAGTTTAAAAAACTTAAGCTTGGGGAGATTCAGTAAGCAGCTTAAGATCATACAGGTAGGAAGGTGCACAGTAGAGGTGGGATCCAGGCTCTGTGGAGCACCAGGAGGCTCATCCTAGACACGTGTGGGTCACAGGGCAAAAGGACAAATGGAACCTATATGCATGTGTCTCAATGTTGTACCCACTCTCAATGGAGCTAATCAATTGACACATAAAATATGTTCTGTCCTCCTGCTTGCATTCCAAATGACCTGAGCTAGATTCAAGTGCAGGACCAGGGGGCTCCTTGGAGGTGTATGCCGGGGCTTGGTGGGGTGGCAAGAGTAGGTCCTCAGCTCGGAGCCACACCTGCCCTTCCACGCTCAGCCCATCTGGAAAGGGCTCAGGGCTGACTAGACAAAGGCATTTTCAGATCTTTGCACTGGAGCTTGGTCAAGAACGGGCAGGGAGCCAGGCGTAATGGGCACAGGTTCAGGCTTGGCATGTCTCCTTGTCCCTGAGGATTTTTCACATCAGGGAGACCAGCAGGACCAGAGGATGTACAGAGCAGGTCCCTGAGAAGGGCAGAGCCCAGGGCGGGCATCGCTGCTGTCTGGGTCTAAGGAAGGGCCTGACTTCCAGCTTGTGCTCTCAGCCACTAGGTCACTGTTCCTGTTTCTTCTCAGGGACAGGAGCGACAATTGGCTTTCCTCCTTGGATGTATCCTCTTTCTCATCCAGTTGCCTTTTTTAAAAAAACTTTATTTTCATATATAGTCTATGAAAGGCCTTAACCAGTATAAACATTATTTATGGTTCTTCCATGAATATCAGGTCTGAACAATCAAATTGCTTAGAAAGAGGCAATCTCTGACTTGCTAGTGACACCTGTCCTGCTAATGCAGCCACTTCCCAGCTCCACTTTACACATAACCAGGGGGTCTGACCATCAATAATGCCATCAAACAGCACCTTCAGCCCCGCATTACAATTGGTGTTTTCACTTACTTTCAATTGGGGAGCCATTGACTTTCCACTTGGTTGTGGGTTTAGGTTCTCCTTGAGCCTCACATAACAAGATCCCGTTGCTCCCAGTGCTATACACGGCACTCTCAGGTTTCTTTGTCCAGTGAGGAGGCTCTGGAAACAAAGCGAAGAGCTCATCAGATTTTATCCACGTCAAAGGTCCAAAATGTTAAGGCCTGTATTTCTACTACGCACCAGCAGAGGGAAGACACCACTAAGTGTTCCACAGTAGCTCTTTTTGATAAACTTTCTCAAAGCAAGGTGGGAGTTGTTTTTGTGGAGTATGAGGGTGTGTGTGTGTGTGTGTGTGTGTGTTTAATTTGGACTCAGCATGTATAATAAATAAAGATACTAAAAATAGTTATATTGTATTTTATTTAGCTACACAAATATCTATCCCACTAAAAGACAATGACGGAGGAATAAGGAGATGGTAACATTATTTAGTGCTGGCTACAGCTTATTCAAGCTGCAGCATGGCATCTAAAAAAGGTGAATACTCAAGAATTATATTTTGAGAAATTTTAAAATAAAACTATTTAAAATTTTCAACTTTTATTTTAAATATTTTTAAATTAATGACTTTATATATAGCATTTATATACCCACATCTTAATATCTATCTAACTAATCCATTTGGAAAACATCATTTCCAAGAAGTTTTTTGTTTTTTGTTTTTTGGGGTTTTTTTTTTTTTTTGGTAAGAGGGGAGGGAGGGAATTCTAAAAGTAACATTTAGCCTTTTTCACTTAAAAGAATAGAGGAAAAAATCGTAGGGTGGGGAACCTGTAGCCTTCTGATTTCAAGATTGTTCTTTTTGAGCACCAAAGGAGGCAAGAAAATCTTTGTCTTTCTCTGCAGCACCCCTTTTAATAAAAGGATTTGTCCTGTAAAATTTGGATTCAGTCAAAAGGCCGCACTCAAGGATGCAAAAGCCCACACATGGCCCCAAGGCCACAGGTTCCCCATCCAACGAATGTCAGGACCAAATAAAAGGTTTAGATTGAAGTGTGGATGGTTTGGATGATTTAATTTCAAAGAAAATTGCACAAAACCTGCAGACAGTAATTCCCATCAGGTGTTGCTTGTTATTTCTCCCAGACATTTTAGATTTCCATGTTTAGTCAAAAAGGAAATTCTTTAAACATATATGTAGGCAGAAAATAAAAAATGTCATTTAAATAATTTTTAAAGTAAAGGAGAGAAAAGAGGATTATGTGAAAAGAAAATACCTATAAATTCATGGGTAGAAATGAAAGTATACAAATAACACTGGCAAGTTCAAGTCTGAGCAAGATAAGTGCCTTTGAAATTATTCCACAGGGTGTGGACTTAATTGTTAAATTCCAACGGAAATATATATAGTCATAATCTATCCCATCTGTAAACATTTAGTCACTTGTTTTAAAATGCAATAGCCCAAATTATAAACTGTAGATCACTTTCCGAGGCAAAGGTTTTTTTTTTTTCTTTTTTGTATTTTTTGATGCTATTGTTACTTTTTGGTGGGGTCGATTCATACAACCACAATAAAATAAAAAATTTGTAAATTAGAGAAAAAAGTTCCATGAACATGACCATTATCATATTTACAGTAGAAAACTACAATTATTGCTTTTAGAGCATTAAAAATAAAGAAAATAAAGCAATGATGTTATTTCTCTAAATCTCCATGAATAATAAAATCTCCATTTCTAATTCTTTTCTCATCTTACAAATTTCATTAATCCCTTAGTGTCTGTGTTGAGATCTTTTACTGTCAGGGCTGAAAGGTACTTAATTTATCACCTGATCCAACCATAGCACCTTATAGACAGAGGACTGAACCTTGGAGAAGTCATCTAACCTGCGCTGGGTCACCAACAGAAGAAGCCACATTTCCTGTTCTTGCTATTCCATGGATATGTGGACAGGACCTATGAATGAGCAGCATGGGGACTCTGAAGCCATGTGGTTTTGTTTGGAATTCATTGCTATCTTTTTAATTTGGAAAAAAGATAGGAACAAAGACCAACTCCATTTATCAGCTGTTACTTTGTGCTTCCAAATCCAAGCTCTCCCTGTATTTATCAACTGATCCAAGAAGTTCTGAGCATTCACTAGGCTTCACCAATAAACATTACCTTACCCTTTCTTCATAAGCTTTCTTTGTAAATGCTTGAACATTTGTATACTTCTCATCCCTGTTTCTTCCACAAAAGTAAGCTGACCCTAAGCAGAAGTAGATTTGCCATGCAATTTGAGAGAGACTTCAAGGCTGTCCTGCTCAGAAACAGCTTCTTCTTGGGCCTTCAAATCAAAAACTCTGAGAAAAAGACATCATCATCGAATCCTATTATTTATCTATTATCCTAGGACACACTGTACCTGATGAAAATTACTTATGTTGAAACTTTATCCATTTTCTCATAATTGTACATACAAAATTAAGACGATGAATTTATGTTGCTAAAAACAGAGATGAAAATGTCTGAACACTGAGACTATCTAATAAGCAAGCTAACTGGGGATATCTAACAATAGAAAAACAAAATAAAACATAAAATTTTGTGTCTATAAAATGTACAACATGGTAGTTTTTTTAGTAAAACTGTTTTGTCACAGATTCCCATTAAATATCTATATGCCAATAAATCAAAAATTGTTAGGTTCAACAAACATTGGATTTAATTGCAACTTTTTTAGGAATAGATTTGTTCTTTGAAAATGAGGTTTATCAATGACTGAATTACATGTGAGTTTATGACATCCTTTGAAAATGCAAAATCATTTTGGATTATATTATGAATATATAATTATATATAAGTGCTTTTCTATTATACTTACTAAAATTCAAAAGATTTAAATGATTCAAACATTGATAACATTAAAATTGTTGATGGAAGTTTATTTCAAAATAATCTGTTGAAGTGTGATTGTGACCACATTTTGATTTCTGGATTTAGTATGTTTTAGATGCCATTCTAACATATCTCTTTTTACTATAATTACAATGGCTAATTATTCACATCATGGATATCTAGAACATATAATTGTACTTAGTTAAGACATCCTGGCTGGTTTTGCTTATATATGTATTATAGAATTTGAAATGCAGTTTGACTTCCTATTTAGGATATTATAGCTTAAATAACATGTGTTTAAATAATAACGAAGAAATACCACATACAGAGAAGACACAATACAATCCATGCTTTTACTTAAGCACAATGGGTGTTTCCAGAATGGACTAGATTTTCAAATGACACAATAGCATTGCCATTTTCCCATATGGCTAGTCTTTGTTATTTAATTTGGGTTTCTATAAAAGAGACAAAAAAAAAAAAAAAAGGAAAAGGAGAGGGTGCAGGAAGGCAGAAGAAAATTGAATAACAGTGAACTCATCCATCCAGATGATTAATGAAGGTTATATTTACTGCTTTCACACTTTAAAAAAAAGACTTCTTAAGCTCAATTCGCTTTTCACATATGTGGGTAAAGAGAAACTCCTAAAACATACAACTGAGAGTACATTTAGTAGTTTCTCACTAAGGGGAAAGGATTAAATGTTCCTCATAAAAACATTATTTACATCTCAATAGTGCTAATAGGTGTTTTATGAATAGTGAAAACAATTTGTTCAAGAAACCTACATTCCTTTGGAGTCCTGCAGTCAACATTTTAAATTGCATAATGAATTTTACATCTCTGATTTTCTCTCCCTCCTTTTTTTTTTTTTTTTTTGCAACCCTTGCAATTCTTTTGAAAGCTCCAGTCTTACAGTCAAGAAAACCGTGGCCAGATTGTTAAAATATTCAGCTACCGTAGCAATGTTCCAGCCATCTGGAAGGATTTCTAACAGTCAGCAACTTGCAGCAGGAGAAGCTAACAATTAGACACGTCTGGTTCGTGAGTATGTGAGTGTGCTGTGGAGGGGCTGTGGGCAGGTTATAGAAAAATATCCCTGTTGCACGATGTAGCCAAATTACATAGAAACATCAGCTGACGACTTAAAATACACATAAAATAAATCCTTCAAACTCTTCCTCTCTGAATTTCTTTGTGAATAATTTAATGTCAGAGGAATATATCACTGTTGGCAGATGTCGATGTTAATACATAATATTGGGCTTTCTCCTACATTGGTTTTGCTTTCGTCAAGCCAAAGAAAATAAAATTTTCATCTTTAGTTTTCTGTTCTTCCTATCTTACCTAATAATACTCCTTATGGAGAGAACTTGGAAACACAGTGTTATTTCAAACAGGAACCTGGCTAAATCAATTATCTTAATATTTACTTGTGAGTGGAATTTGTGTCTGAGTCTTTTTTCCCCACATTAATTAAAACAACAAGCCATTACTGAGGTGTTCTCTGTGCAAATTGAAGCTTTAAGAGGTGAGCCTTATTGGAATATTAATGGGTGCCCTAGAGGACTAGGTCACTAAATGGTAGCCTAAAAGAGACAATTCCTTTCAATAGTTAAGTACACAGCACTAAATAAGTACAAATGCAGTAATCATTCCATTAATTTGATCAATACAATGAACTAAACCGTAGGTAGAAGGCCTCAGTGTGATCAGACCCATAGAAAGTAGTCTGCATCAATTAAATTCAGAGGAGGACTAGATGACCTTCACACCTACCAACCAGGTGCAGCCCCAATATCTACATTTCGTGGCTGCCCCATTTTTTAAAAAATGATGCCATCATCACCTACTTATTTCTACAAATACCACAATGAAATGATTGGATTTACAGAGGGAAGATGACCTGAATATAATGTGGTTTTTGCACTTTTGGATAGGGAACTATTATTCATATTTATAGCATACAGACCATAGTCTATTTTTCTTTCCCCATAAATAACATATTGAATATCATCTGAACCCAAAAAATGGCCAAAAAATGTATCTTGAAAGAGTTAAGACAATGATTTGTCTGCCTGTCTTACTTCTTTAAAGAAGAAACTGAGGTATAGAAACGTGAAATAAAGTGACCAAGGACACAGTAAGTTAATTACAGGATTAAGAAGCAAAGTCCAAGTTTTCTTCCAGGCCCATTTCAATTCTTTCTTCCATTGTAATCCTTACTGCTTCTTTTATGATTTGATATTATGCAGTGCCATATGTATATTACAATAAAATCATTTCTCATAATGTGATGATACAGGAAACTAAGTTTAATGACTGTTTGAACAAATCATATGAATTGTCTGTGTTTAATCCCCATCATGAGATATTTTCCTGTCATTTGTCTCTTTTATGTGCTTTTGGGAGATAAATGACAAACCTGCTTAATTGAAGTGTAATATAATTGTCCACACTACGATTAAAAGCTGAAACTGTTGATCTGTTTTAATATATATGATTTAGAGGCAAAGGCCCACTACATGTATGAATTCACTTTTTTTTAAGGTAGAATAATAAACCAATATGGGGAATGTACCTTGCACTATAACATTAAAATCGTGAGTGGCTGTTCCCAAGAAATTGCTGGCTGTGCAGCGATAATTTCCTTTGTCCTCGTAGGATACATTCTCTATCTTCAAAGTCTTGTCATGATTTTCTTTTTTTTCTCTTCCTTTTGGTAAGTCACCACCCATTTTTTTCCAATCAATCTGTGGAGTTGGTCTGCAAGATTAACAAACAGACAAACGGACATTACATTTTTTAAGTGGAAAATATAAAGAAACCCTCAGGACACATCCTTTATCAAGTTGCTTTTACATATGTGCTCAGATTCCACTGAATCACATCAACCTTACCAGTGGACAGACATGCTTACCTCCACCAATGGTGAACATTGACATTAAAACAAGTTCTTTCACTGAATGTTCCTTTAATAGTCTACTACCTCAGAAATTGTCTCTGTCCTCTATGAAGGGGGATAAGTGCTGACTAGGTGTGGCTGGATAAAGGATAAATAATTGGAGCCCAAAGAAATAATATTACAAGATATTTTTCAAGTATGAAAATCTCCCTGTACGAAGTTTGCAGAGGCTAGCGACAGCAGCCCTCTTCCCTGTGTGTTTGAAAAATACAGTAAAGCAGGATCCAACAGTCAGCAGAGAGAAGCAATGATTTCCCCTTTAAACGTGTGAAGCTGACATCAGCTGATATTGGAGGATGTGGCTCAGATGTGAAAGCAAATGTGTTGGTTAGACTGACGAACAGCCCATTCTAGGGCAAGTTGAGGTCTGTGGCACAGACACTGCTACCCAAGTTGTTTTCTCATCCTTCTGGGAAATAGAAGAGGGAATGAACCAAATCTCCCTTGCTTAGGGTTTTTGAAATATTAGCTCACCCAATCAAAACAAACAAACTGAACAGCAAAAACAAAACAAAATCCAGAGTCATAACTTGTCACACACCAACACGATAATTTTTGTAACCATAGTAGGGAGGAAAATAAGACTGGGGAATCACACCAGCTGGGTTTAAGAAAAAATCCCTTCTGGCGAAAACCAAATAAATGGAAAAGTAGTACCCTGTGTGACTTATTTGATTTAAAAATTATGTAGAAAGTATTAATGGCAGATTCTAACTGATGGATAATTTTTTTTCCCTCCTCCTCAGTAGGGCTATATAGGGAATAGAAGAAAATTTTGTTAATTTTATTGATTCTTCTTTTTTCCTGTCAGTATTTCTTTTTATCATTAATAGTTTTAAGTTACTGAGTATATTCTAAAGGTAGGCATTATTATCATTAGTTTACCAGTAAGGAATCTGAAGCACCAAGAAATTAATTTGCTTAATGTCACTGGAATAATTAATGCCATATTAGAACATAAATGCATCTACTCTAAACATGTTCTTCTACCAGTGTATTTGTTATTTGGCACTTTGTAATCTATGTCCTTCCCAATTGTATATTCTTAGAATCTATGATTATAGTCAAATGATCCATTGCTACTTAACAATTGAGCAATTCTCTCAAATTGTATGTGTCAATGTTCTCAAATTATTTGTATTGATAGTGAATGATAAAAATGATTCAGTTATCATGCAAAAAATATTGGAGGTAAAGATGAAGGCCCTAGAATCTACACATATATACTCTTTTCCCCCTCCTTTTAAGGTCCCAAATACTAACCTGCCTTACAGATCTGGAACAATGATCATATACTTTACCAAGCTCAAAACACATGACAAACTTCTGTAGGAAACAGTAATGATGCTCAGACAGGAGGCTGTGAGAGTGTATTAGCTGCTGGCTTCCTGAGTGCACTGCCTAACAGGGTGCATAACCCAGGTCTCCTAACTGCTTGTTTTTCACTCCATCTGTCAAAATGGCAGCTTGCCAAGTTATGGGCTGCTCTGGACCTCAGTTCCCCAAAAACAGCAGTTTTTCATGAGTACACACTTAGTGTGTATAGTGAATAGTGTAAGCATCTCACTTTCTGCAAGATCTCTTTTTACCCACTAGTCTTTGAAAACTAGTCTAACTTCCTTATACCTTTTACCTGAAAGAATAAAAGAAAATGATTATTTATAAATATTAGGTGAACATGAGCTATAATTTATCTCAGGATAAGTCTATACCGTGGCAAGAATTTTCAGCTACGTTCTCACCAATTTTTTTCTCTTTTATTTTTTTCTAAATTTAAGGAGCATTTACTAACAGTATTTGAGCAAACACATTTTGAGGAAAAATATATTGCTTAATCCCCTTTATATACAAATATACACTATATCACAATCTCAAATTTTTGTTCAGGTCCTTGTCTGGCCAACTTTTATTTATATACTTCTTTGTTTATAAAGTAGCATCTTGCAATAGAATCATACCTAGCTGAAACTCATAAATTCACACAACAAAACCAAACAATTTGTGCAGTGCAGATGAGTCTGCAGCTATGGCTGTTTCACAGGTCATGAGTGAGTATGAATTGGTGTACAAATGCAATATTTTCACTGAAAGTAGGACTCCTTGCTTGTCCTTCTCCTGAGGAATAATATTATTATTGTTTGCTCCTGAGGAATAAATACCTTCCTCTCCTAATGTAAAGTGCAAAACGTAGTGCTTGACACAAAATAGTAGCAGGATGTTATTAGGCTCAGAAAATAATATTCCAACATGAAGTCCTTAGAAACAGCCTCAGAAGCAAAAGTTTTTCTCTGACCTTCTCCTGCCCTCCTGTCTCAGTCCCATTCTCCCCTGTGGCTATCCACAGAAACTAGAATTCCTTTTCTCCAAGGCAAGTCATAGAAACCAGAACCCCTTTTTTCGAAAGCCTGCCATAAAACCTAAAAATATTCTGTGTAAATGCTGAACATAAAGAAATTATCTGATCTACCTTGTTTGACTGTAAGTCATAAGACCCCCATTCCAGAGAGGGTCCTGTCCCACACCCAGAAGGAAGGAAAGCATGCTCAGAGAGGCCAAGAGGAATCTAGACAGACAGGCCTCGCTGGGTTTCCCCACTCAATCAGTTAGCATTAGATAATGTCCTTTTTGTCCAATCATATTTCCACACTGCTGTCTATACTTTGTTCAACCTAAGCATAAAAACGGACAATTTCTTTGGGTCTTCATTCTGAAGGCTCCTGGGTATACACATTAAATACATTTGTGTGCCTTTTCTCCTATTAATCAATCTGCCTCATGTCAGTGATTTTCCAGTGAACCTTCAGGGAACCAAAGGCCTTGGCCCCCACCATGTCTTAGCTATAATTATTTTTGTTACTAGGGGAGGTTTGTAGTTTAGAAACCTCTTAGAACAAGTGTTTTAATGTACTCTAAACAACTTTTTAAAAATATATCACCTTCACCTGAAAGAGGACCCAATCAGATAGGATTACCCAACACAAACCCAGGGCAAGTTAGAAGAAAACACGTCAGGTGAAAACTCTGATGACAGTGCATCAGGAATTTTCATGTTCCAAGGACAGCAAGTTCTCATGTCCACTTTGTTTTTAAATACTGTTCCATGACACTTCATTTCTAAAAAGCCCATGAGAGTGTTTCTATTATTTTGAGGACAGTCTGTACAGTTGCCAGCCAATTCAAGAGGTAAATGATGGCATTCGTGGGAAATAAGAAAAAAGAATTACTGAAAGGTTTGCCCTGCCCAAACACCAAAAATAGTGATGAACCTTGAAAGAATTTAATTTTGTCCACTGTAAACACATGTGACTATGACCAGTAGAACAGGTGGTTACCGTCAGGATTCAAAATGAACACGAGGCTTTCATTCATAATACAGAGAAAAAACTTCCTGAACAGAGGCCATGTCATGGCACATCTAACTCACTCATGTCAATACACATTGGCTATTTACGACAGAAAAGTAACCTGGGCATTTTTGCTGGATGGAGAGAGAAATTGACAAAGCTTAGGGGCTGTAAAATGATTAAAATCTACTCCTTTTCTTCATGATCTAATTTAAAACTAGTCATTCAGAAAATACACTGAGTTATGAATGAATATGATCGCTAAAATTTCAAATCTTAGTCTACTAATGTGACTCCCAAAAGCCCTTAGCTTACAGATAATGGTTCAAATCAGTAAACTTGGTGCCGGGAAGATGGAATGCATTTTCCCATGGTATTCCCAATGTTAGGGAGGAACTATAGTGGTAAAAACAGGAGATCTTGTAGGATCAAATATTAAATAAGATGGTCCCTGTTTACACAGACATACAGTAGTTAATACATGTAACAATTTCAAGAGAGGTGACCAAGTAAGGTCCCTTATGGCTTTCTTGGAAGATTTGAAAAAGTGCATTGCTTTTTCAGGGGTGAAGACAGTTCAGTTAATTAGGTTTTGATGTGAAACTCTCTTAAATTATATGGTCTGGACTTCCTTGTGCACAAAGAACAGCAATGTAAAATATAAGATAAATTGTGTTCCTTGGAACCTGAAAAGGGAGAAGAGCTAGTAGCATTGCAAACAGGAGTGGGACAAGATAATACAGCAGAGAGAGAAACCAGGTACCGATAGCAATGGGCTGACTGCTAACAACCTCATGCTTTAAGGATGACATTAGACTTAGCTAAGGAGAATGTTGTCATCGTCCCCTCCATTCACAATATCACAAATTGACAGAGACATCTAATTTTATGTCAATCTCAGTTACTGCCTGAATTCTGTAAAGTGAAGTACAAATTACTTCCTTCAGAAATAAAGTATAGGTTTTATATTGTAAAAAAAGGAAATAACTGAAAAGTGTATATGCAAGCACATTCTTAATTGGTGTCTAATTCTTTACAAAACTCAATGGACAAAGTCATGAGCAGGAGTCAGGTTACTCACAGGCCTTCCGCAAAACATTCAAGCAGCAGGGTGTCCCCTTTGAGGATGGTAACTGAAGACTCACTGCCACCGCCACTCTCGGTAGGAGGCAACAGCAGTCTGGGTTTTCTTTGCTTGATTGAATTCGCTACAAAATAGAAGAGAAAAGTCAGATTTTTTTTCAAGCTAAGATAAAATTCTGTGGCACTAAGTCTTTCTTAAGATGTGTGTGTGTGTGTGTGTGTGTGTGTGTGTGTGTGTGTGTGTGTGTATACACACATACATGTATATATACACATTTCAATATATTTCCATTTAAGTAGACTCCTCTCTTACCATGAAACATGGGTTGTCCCTCAGATGTGTTTCCTAAGCTTTATGAAGCATCAAGTTTTATGAAGGTTATGATTTGAACCACATCTTCTAATTCAGAAGTTGAAACATTATTTAAGATAAATAATTCCTTGATGATGCCTACTATTTTATAGTCTATGCTTGAATCATACCTGGTCATGTTTGATGGCTGTAAGTGTTGCTTTCATTTAATCTGCCTAAGTATCTGATAAGATTCCTATTAAAAACACAGCTTCCCAGACCCTGCACCCAGAAATTCTGACTGAGAAAGCCTGTGGTAGACACCGGACATTTGTGAATTTGTCAAGCGCTTTAGGCAACTCTACTTACAGTCTCAGGCCCTCAAGGAGAAACATTGAGAAATGATTAGCAAGCATTCTCACTAACAACAAATTGAAATGTCCCATTTCTTACTTTGTTAAGAATACTTTTCAAATACAATAGCAAACTAGGAGACTTCCATTTCACTGCAAATTTTGACTTCATTTTTAAACGTTAACATAAATTGTTTTTCTCGTCCAACGTCAATGTGATTTGACATGATATGGAAAGAGAATAAATAGCTGGCATTCTACTATCAGACGTATGAAAGGTACTTGAAGCAGCGTCCACCTAGCTATATACTTCCTTATAAAGGTTTATTTATTGAAAGAAAATTGTTGAATATGTACTATGTGCAATGATTTTTATTGAATGCTGTGAATATACAGCAATATCTATGTTTAAGTTATTTATGTTAAAGAAAACTATGTTGGGGATGAATTATTCTATCTTAAAACTGAGAGTTCTTCAAGAGGAGGCCTCATCTACCTTTGCTGATATTGCCAGTGTATGAAATATCTAAGTCAACTCACTGGTCCACATGACACAAAGACTATTTGTTGCATTCATGAAAATGACTCCCCTCATTATGGAAAACTAGCCTATTAGCCTATATAATTCAGATTTACTCAGGCATTTTCCATAGAACACGAGATCTGGTACACATTCTATGGAAAAAAAAATTAAATAAAAGTTCCATA